TCCAATAGTACTTCCTGATGGTTTCACTGTTAAAAAGGCAACCTCTCATGACTTCTTTGCTCAAAGATCGTCCTTGAGCAAAGTGACAAGGTGATGGTTAAGTGAAGGTCAACTTGTGACAAATCTAACAAAATTTATTTCTCTTTCAAAAAAATTGACAAAGCTGTTTTCTTGCAGAACCACATGGTCATGAGGATGATATTAAGGTGGCAGGCTACTTAAATCTTGCTGCAGACTTCACTCATAATTTCACTGATGGACTGGCCATTGGCGCCTCGTTTCTTGTGAGTCGCAATCTCGGCATAATCACTACTCTCACAATCCTTCTTCATGAGGTTCCTCATGAGATTGGAGACTTTGCTATCTTGGTACAGTCTGGATGCAACAAGAGAAAGGTATGTAGTCTTCAGGAGAGTTTGCCAGTTCCTGCGTCACTGATCAAAAATCTTACACTCTATTATCCACTGTACCATTTGTCCCATCAACGTCTTTATATGCATAAGTTGTATGTTTGAATGACATTCATTAATTTTATAAATGTCATATCAGAGGTTCATTCTATTCTGTTGTGAGTGCAGTGGATGCATTTGGTATAGAAGTGGTTTAAACACGTCGCATGGTGCAGCCAAACCTGAGATATACTGTAACAGGAAATGCCCCAATGATATCACTTAGTTGTCAAAATTTTAAACAAATTTTGCCTACATTTCGTGTAATTTTTGTACTTAATGTAAGTTCAGGCTCACTGTTTTGAACGGACAGCAAGATCTTTAATGCGAACAAAATCACTTAAACATGTGACAGCTTTGTTGAGATCTTGCAACCAGGGAGAACTGAGAATAATGAACAGAATATATTATTATTAGTTTCAAAATATGTAGGGGTATTTTGCCCTTGGGCCTAATCTATTCCTTGAAGCTCACAGTTTTAGTCAAACTTTTCTCTTGGGAATCTGTCAGTGTTTTTTGAACAGATAACGTCCATTAGGTGAAAATAGTAATTTGAACCAAATGGAGATTTCTCTTTGTAAATTTGTTGCAAAGCTTTAAATATGTACTAACGATAGACTTGACTATTTTTCCAGGCAATGTTTCTTCAGTTGACAACAGCCACAGGAGCCTTAGCCGGCACAGTCTGTGGCTTACTGGCAGAAAACATTGGGGATTCTGCAACACTATGGATCTTGCCCTTCACAGCAGGAGGTTTCATTTATATTGCCACAGTGTCTGTCATCCCTGAATTACTTGAGGACACAAAACTAGGACAGTCCATTAAAGAAATTCTTGGATTGTTCACTGGAGTTTTAATGATGGTCCTAATTGCTAAGTTTGAGTAATTTCAATTAGGACTTCAAATGTTATATTTAGACAGCAAGCTCAAGTCTTCAATGAGCAAACAAATTTGCCAGTCACTCGCGGTCACTCACTCACTCACGCGGTTATTTTATTGAATAGTTTAATCCCGTGTAAATGGTGAAACAAGGTCACTTTGTCTTCACACCAGAAATTTTAATGTAATGGATTCCACTTGTGGAAGTTTGAAGTCTATGACAAATCATGGGCACAATCATTGACTGTCAGCTGAAGTTGGAAATGGCCTTGGAGAGTCAAATAGTTCCACACATTTACAACAGACAGTAACAAATTTCTGATAATAATAATTATTCTCATCACTTCATAAAGCAATAAATTAATTATTTTTGAACATTCTGATAAATGTTTAGAACTTCCTACAGATGTCTTATACATGTGCATGTATAGAGTTTGACACTGGGTTAATTGTTATGGTTAGGTGTATATTTATGTTGAAAACACAAATTGAATGTAATATATTTTTCTCTTTTGTCTTCAACATTTTTGCACTAGGTATTGTCTAATTAAGATCATATTGTTAGTTTTATTTGCCTTGTATTTTTACAATCCTCTTTTAGAATAACTAATAAATTACTATTTTTAGGTATTAAATTTGTAATCGTAACTTAGATATATTTCAGGATTGAGCCTTAAATAGCTCTGGGGTCCAGAGGTTTTTTGTTCATTTGCTATGCATTGTTAACTCATTGTTGACTCTCTTGCTCGCTCTCTGGCATGTATAGGAAGCTAACTTTCAAAGTCCAACAAAAACCTCTGTCACCCTAGGTGACCAAAAAGAGAATATTTTGTGTAACAAGGTTTTTGTGAATTAAGACTGTGCAATTCATTATTTATCTTACAACAAGTTATGTACTGCGACGTTTCCACAAATTGGTTCCAGTTCCTCTTTCTACTCGTTTGATGCGAAATGTCATAGAATGTGGTCACGACGATTAAAAGGCGCCGGAAGTCAGTTGTGTACCGTGTGTGTGACAATGTCAGTCCCAGGATCTCTCTTCCTCTCAAGGAGTGGGACAGAAGAAATAATGATCCCTTCACTTTCTCATGCCTAAGCTGCCGATTTCTCTCGTAAACGAACTAGCGACGTTGAAGCTTCCAGACAAAGCTTTCCCTGGTGTCAAGTTCTTTGGTAGGCTCAGTCTCCAGACGTGGGTGTTTCGGTGTCTCTGCGATCCTCTGGAGACTAAGCCTAGTTCTTTGGCAGAAGTTAATGTTTAGCGAAGCAGCGTCCAGGCCTCGGCTCTTTTCAATCTCGCTCTCGCCAAAAGGCCCGTTTGGGGGCGTCGTTCGTCTCCGCGTTTGGTTCTCTACGCGTAACTGTTGTTCGCCAGGTTTTTCTCCCCCTTTTTTTCCCCGTTCCTTAGCGGTTTCCATAGCAACCGTCCAAGCACCTAACCCTTACAAATACAAATCAATTATTATTATTATTATTAACCCTTCTCTCAGGCCCCCAGACCAAACCTTGGTACTTTCAGCCCTTTGCATCCCCTGCCACTCCTCGCCAGTGGTCGCGTAGCGCAAACATTAACACGGAAATATAAGCTCCAAATTTCGTTTTGTGACCGCCAAAGAGAAACCTTAGAAAGTCGATCGCTAAAAGTTTAGGATCAAAACGAAGAATAACCAAAGAATGACAAAGTTTTGTTTAAAAGTCCTCAACATGGCGCAATTTTATTGTTTCAGAACTTTCAACTTTATTACTTCCATCACTTTTATAATCAATATATCATACATATTCTTACAAACAGGCTTTAAAATCAAAAAGGGACGAGAAGTCTATAAAAAAGCAGAATTGCATGAGGTTATAGACCCCCTCAACGATCATTACTTCACTTTAGGTTAAATGCTTGCCTGACAATCAATCAATGATAAAGAATGAAAAAATGCTTATTGGAAAGTCATTTGGCCTGCTTTGATAGAATTTTTTGCTTTAGTCATTTTTTCTACATTTGTTTGTTTGTATTCTTAACGTTATTGGTTGCTTTTACGATAAAGGTCGCTTTCCTTTGTTTCGCTTAACGTTTTGATTGGGT